AGGGTACATCTCTTTCAAAATTGGCTGTACATTTCTAGGTTTACAGATGAATTATTACGCTTATATAATCTTTTACTCATTATAAACTCTATATGACATAAAATTAAATGAGGTTCCAACATTTAAAAAAGATCTCATACATTAAAAAACTTTTTAAAAAATTAAAAATGAGGGACTGGAGAGATGGCTCAGTGCTTCAGAGCAATTGCTGTTCTGCAGAGGACCTGGGCTCAGTTCTGAGCACTTACATGATGGTAACGGCAGCCCTTAGCTCCAGCTCTGGGGGATCCCTGCAGACACTCTTGACCTCCTCAGGCATGGCATACTCATGATATGCTCACACACATTCAGAAAATACACTCATACACATAATAAATAAAATATTTTTAAAAAGGAAAAAGAAAAATAAAAAAAGATAAGATCAACATGTCAAACTACTCATGGTAGTACATACCTGTAATTCTAGTACTCAGGGGGTTGAAGAAGGGGCTTTGGAAGCCTATTTGGACCCAGCTAAAGAAACTTACCAAGTATGTGCCTTCACCTAAAAGGGAAAAATAAGGATAGAGATATAGTTCATTTGTATGTGATTGAATATATTGACTATGTTAGGCCCTGGGGTCATTCCCCAGTACTATGGAAACAAAGAAATGCAAGATTTTTATTTTTTTGTCTTTTTGAGACAGGGTTTCCCTGTAGCCCCAACTGACCTGGACTCACTACGCAGACCAGGCTGGCCTTGAACTCACAGAGATCCACCTGCCTCCCAAGTGCTGGGATTAAAGGCTTGTGCCACAAAGCCTGGCTGTAAAGCAACAAAATTTTAATCAGGCATTGTAAAGGAAACATTTTCCCACAGATTCTGGAAAGTGCTGCTCAGATAGAAACTGACCAGGGACCCATTCAGGTTTAGATCCCCATGGATGTGTCTTAAACTGAAAGCAACCACTTTACTCTAGGGAAAGAGATAGCTGATAACTAGGACCCACCATCCAGATTCCTGAAAAGGTGTTTCTTGTGTGCCAGAGACATTTGGTGGATGACCACCAAACCAATAGACTGCTCATAAATCAAATCAGAGTAAGATAACCAGCTCCTGGAATCCCATGACTCTGAACAGTGAAGCAGTACAGTCACCCTGTGTTTAAGGCCAGGCTGGACTCCAAGAAAAGAAACACCAATCCAGTCAATCAACCAAACCACATATCAATAATAAAACTTGATTATAAACAAAACAAATACACTGAGATACTGAAGGAGAGTCCCCCTCAGACAACCCCCCGACTGTCCTGTGGCAAGGTCTGCCCTCCACCTGACTCTGGAAATCCCCTAGATTGTTTGAACCCTTTCCTGTTACATCTGTTTATGGTTTCTATGGAAATGGTCTGGGGCAGAAGAGGAAGAACGGTCTGCTCCCTGTAAGCCAAACAATGGCTCTATAGGTTAAAGCGCTGGAAATCAGCCCTAGATTGTTCAAACCCTTTTCTGGTACATCTGTTTATGGTTTCTATAGAAATCCCCTGCTCTGTGGCTTTTGTGCCTAAAAACCCTGCGTCTATGGCTCTGGGTTGCAGTGTAGCTCCCGAGCCTGTCTGCATCCCAGGGCAGTCAGTTTCAATAAAGCAGTTATGTTCTTCTGAATCTTAATGTCTGAATGGTCAATTCAGGGAATTTCACCCCGAACATTTTTGGGGCTCTCTCCAGGATTCTCTCAAAGATCCTTTGTCTGTTCCCCTGTCTTTTTTGTTCTCCATTTTGCCCCCAACGACATCAGATCTGCTTTCTCCTGCATTGAATCTGTTTTGATTTCTGTTCTGGCTGTCTGGACGTCTGG